ATGACCTATTATTCTGTTAATATTTTGGTATATGTTTCTGGTCTTCTATCTATCTCTAAATATGTGTTAAAAACCTCTGTTGTTGTTGTTGTTATGTGCCCTGGAGTCGGTTCCGACTCATAGCGACCCTGCACAGGGTTTCCGAGGCTGTTAAACTTTACGGGAGCAGAACGCCTCATCTTTCTCCCACGGAGCAGCTGGTAGTTTCGAACTGCTGACCTTGCGGTTAGCAGCCCGATTCGTAACCACTACGCTACCAGAGCTCCTTGTTAAAAACCTCTACATAGACCCAAATACATATTTGCACTCTTCTTAATTGGTTTTTGACAGGATCATTTGTTTTCTTTCCTCATCAGTGTTTCTTCAAACATAATTTAAAAAAAAAAGCATTTTGTTATGAATTGAGTGAAGATTTACAGAGCTGATCATCAGGTTTGCATTCAACAAATCACACTCATTTCTTCTCATTGATTGCAGTCTCCTCCATGTAACATCACTTATCCTACTTCCTCCCTGAGCTTTTGTTTCTATTCCTGGTTCTTTCCCAACCCTTCTGAATGTTGTCCTTGGGTAAATGGTGCCTTTTTGATCTTGAATGGTTGATTGTTCTATAATGTGCTCAACTCTTTAGTATTGTTATCCCACTCTATACCTATTTATTATTGGGCTGAAAATTGAACTATGGGGCCAGGGGCCAGGGAGGGAGTTCAGTTCCAGACCTGAAGGGTGACTAAGGATCATAGTCTTGGAGTTCTACCACTCCTTCTATAGGACTGATAACCCTGGTCTTTTTTTATGATTCTGAGTTTCTCCCCCACATTTTCTCAAACTCTTTCCAAGACCTTCTAAAAAGATCTCTTTCAGAGCAGTTGGTAGTGGTAGCTGGATGCCATCTAATTCGGTCTCAGGGTCAAACATAGTTTTAAGGCCATCTATTATAAGGTGTCCTAGTGTAGTGCCGTAGGATAATCACTCTACCTCAAGGTGGGTTTGAACCACAGGGTAGGTGGTTCAAACTCACCAGCTGCTCCTAGGAAATTCTACATGGGTCACTATGAGTTAGAACCGACTCTACGGCACTTAACACACATACACCTTATGAGTGTGCGAATTTCAGTGGCTCTGTAGGATACACACTGGACTGTGAGCCAGAGTCGGTGGTTTGAGCCCACCAGCCACTCCTCAGAGACCTATACAGGGTCGCTGTGAGTTGGAACCAACTTGATGGCACTTAACAACAATAACTACCCCCATACTGTCCTCAAATCTTTATCCTCAGTATCAACATGCCCCCCCTCCCAGGGTGAGCAGCCAATGCCTCCAAGTTCAGAATCTCCAAAACCAGCTCTTCCTCTCCATGTCAGTCTCTGTTCAGTTTCTGTCTCACTCCCAAATCAGTCAGGGGGTCTAAATTCTGACTCCCAGAAGCCTTTCTGCCCTGCCCCCTCAACAAAGTCCCATTCCTACCACTGGATCCTAATACTGCTCACCCGGAGGACAATACCTACTTAGGAGGAGGCCACGCCCTAGAATCACACCAGGCGTTCATGTCCAACAGATTGCTTTTCCTACAGTGCAGCTGGGTAACACCTGCTTCCTTACTCCAAGTCCTTCCTTATTCTTCCACTAGCTGTCCTTGAGTCTACTATAACTCATGATGACCCCACCTATGTCAGAGTAGAGCTGTGCTCCAAAGGGTTGTTTTTTTCCTTTAATGTTTTATTGTGAATTATGTGATAGTTTACATGGGAGAACATTAGCTTTACATTCATCCTATCGTATATCGTTTCATTGCCATGGTTAAAATCCCCTCCATGCATCATCAACCAACCAAAGGGTATACCCT